GTGCTGTGAGGTCGTGGTACTTTCCCGTACGACCTGCCCATTCGTGCAACAGCGAACTGTTGCGTGGCCCATACACAGTTAAATGTTGTAAAACCAGGTTGTTAATATTGTAAAATTGTGTTACTCTATCGGTAAATAAATTATTCAATGAAAAATTTTAAATGAAATTAGGTTACTATAAACAGTTTCATATTTTTTTTACCTGTGTGTGTAATTACGCCAACGTGATGTAAACTCCGAGCTGCGTGTAGATACGTCACGTAAAGTTTACTTAATCTCTTTAATGCGCCCCACTGTACGCTTGAGCTTGTATCGGCGTGTGACCTATTAAATATATTACGACAGGCCATTATGCAAAATTGAAATTTCATGAAAATAGTGATTTTGTGAAATGCGATGGTGAATTTATTTTTATAGGTATATAGGCAAAATGTTACTTACTTTGTTGTATTTTTTTTTACTTCCACAAAACCTTCTATTCTTATCATATAAAAATAATGAATGTTCTCACTAAGTTGCACACTCCTTGAAGCTGAGGAATCAAAAAAAAAGGTTTCATGGTTTCTATAAAAATGAAGGTGAACTGAGAGATGATTAAAGTTGTGCATGATTAACAAAAATTTGAAAAGTGGGGAAATTTCTAAAACATTGGTAAAATTTCGGTAGGAAAATTGAAGAATTAACAATGAATTTCAGCTCTATGACTTACATAAACTTGATTGAAATTTTTTCTTTACGATTCGACTATCGATCGTGAAGAAAAATTCGTCGTTCGGCATTTTATGAAGTGAAATAGTTAATTTTCTACAGAGTAAGAAAATATTCAAACTATTAATCCAGCGTATAGGCAAACTTGATTACAAATTTCATTAAACTCAGTTCAACTGTTTTTAAGGTTTACAGGGATAAATGCACAGAATGTCCCTTTTTAACATTACCGCGACTATTTAGTACACAATGTTTATTGAATTTTAAACCATCCTATTTACCGCCTACCAGGGGAAATTGATACCGCTGTTTAATAACCCTGAATACTTTGATCTTCTGCTTGCTACATACTTTCATCTTTTGCTATGATGCGGTCTGCTAGTTTCTGCTAGTCTGCTAGCGCTGATTGTACTCTTCAATTAATATTCACTGGGATGGCGATAAAATCACCACCTGTCACATATATTTTTTTTTATGCGAAAACTTGTCAAACGAGCAGACGGTTCACCTGATGTTAAGTGAATACCGCCGTCCATGGACATCTGCCACGCTTTCAGTTGGAATATTAATAAATTAGAATTTTTTTACATTTGAATTTTGTTATTTTATATAATGATGATAAAGAGTCTAATAGCTCAGGGCGCTCGCCTTTAATTCAATATACTCGAGCAACCTGAGTTCGATCCTCGGTGTCGGCACCAATGAAGTTTTTAATTTTAAATGCTGACTTTACAATCTGCAGGGTTTTTTTGTTTAGGTTTTTCATTCAGGGCATGGTCCACCATGGGGTCGCGTGGTGGACCATGCCCTGATACCCTCTGTATAGAGGAGGCCTTTGACCAGCAGTGGGACATCTATATGCTGTTACTTTACTTTTTCTTATAGAATGTTGTTAAATTGATAGCCATTGCTTTAGTTTCTTATTTTTAGTACGAAAATGTATCACTTAAATTAGTTATGCTGTGCTCGAGCCACGCAACAGCCTACGGCGAATGGGCAGGTTCGTCCGAGTAAGTACCACGATCTCTCAGAAGTCCGGCGTGAAGTGGAAGGATACTTCTGCGTTTCATCTGATGAGTGCGGCAGCTGGGGCCCACTTTATTAAAAGCTGGCAACGCATCTGCCACCCTACGGGTGCTCCAAATGTATATGAGCGGTGGTTATCATTTAACATCATATGAAACGCCAGCTCGCTTGCCACCTTCTCACATAAAAAAGCATTCATTTGTCGATTTTGTAAGGATTAAATAACCGCTCAGTTCCGTAGCAGGTGAAATGAAAGGTCAGTGAAATAACATTAATTACACTATTGATTTTTTTTATGTCAAATTTTGATATAATTTACCGACGTTTCAACCAAATCTAAACGCGAAATTAGTTTCATTTAACAATGTTTGGTACGCGTAAACTCAAGAAATCATTATATGGATTACCTTTACTAATTAAATTAGGATCAATATCCTTACAAAAGATTGTTTAAAAAAATGGTGTATATAATAACGTACGTAGAAACTAAAGTCAGTTACAAAAATTTTAAATTTTCTATTCCCATTTCTTACATTTATAGTTCGTTATAAAGTTGAGGATATTTAGGGATGGGGCCCTAACTAGTAAACAATAACAAAAAAACTAATCGTGATGAGGTTTTCAATGGGGTGTGGTAACGGTATTTTATGCTTTATCCGGTTTAGCTTTGTTCTTTTTATCTAAAGTTGGATTCTAAAAACGTAATGATACGAACACGTGGCGCTTCTTTGTAAGAAATAATGGCGTCTTGATAATACAAAAAAATAATTTGAAATTGAGATATTAAAAAAAAAAAAGCCGTAGACACACACTAGATATATTATTATTAATATTTCCTTATTGTTATCATTGTTGATTTTTACTGATATTCGATTTAATTTCGATAACAATTAATATGTAAGTTTTTTAAAGTTACTTAAACACTTTGCCACTCCACCGCCAAACTATGTTGTAATGTGAACGTTTCATGTATTTTTAAACTATAAAAATTGCAGTGAAGTGATCAATCACCAAAGGGGAAAACTTGTATTTGCATGTAGAGTATTTATGCACGACAACAAGCCGCGATTAAGCCGGGCATAGTAAAGGGCTTGTTCGACGGCACGAATATTCGTGATCCACAGGTATCTAATAGTGTAACGTTTGGAATACGAAGGTATGATGTAAACGACCATTTAACTTTATAGGACAATTCAAAATATGGACACAATATTTTCGGCTTTCCCAAGTACACGTTTTGTCTTAACGCTTCCCTAGAATTAAGTGTTTATTATGATTTACCGAGTTATACACGTTAATAGTAAACTCTTTTAGTTATAAGTTTAATTACGTGTATAAAAACTATTTTTGTGAATTTATATTATTTAATTGTCCTTAAAATTTCTCAAAGTATGTTTGCGTCGACTGGTATTCATACTTTATAATTTTCATCTTGAACGGTTATGTTTCGGCACGTATTGTAAATTAAACTATGTTTACGGATTTATCGCGTTTATTTTGAAATTTTATTTCCCGACGTTCTTTTTCAGCCGTCTTGGTCACAGGACAGACTTAGTCGTTGGACTCTATATGTAATATATAGCTTAATTTAATAACGGGCAATCTCGTAAATACAAGAAATTATCAGTTACACTGGGTTTTTTAAGGTTGCTTCCAAAACGATATCTCCGCCTCATTATCACCGGGAACCACATCGTAAAGTGACACTGTTTTGACGTTGCCCCAGAGAGTAAATTAGACGCCGGCACCGCTATTTCATCAGAATCATTCCGAGTTATTGGTACACGGTGATTGTGAACTGCCGCGGCATCGTTGCTCGTTAGCGTTTTTGATAGATGACGCCCGCTCGTTTGTTGAATTTGTTGTAACACTCGCGGCCGCGTAAAAACACACGGTTCGACAACGAGATATAAATGGCCACTCCCCTCGGCGGTCTAAGTTAACGAGCCGTCGAATAAATTACTTTGCCGGACAAAGATCGACCGAGGCATTTACTCCGCCGGTTAGAGTTAAACGTCTACGTGGGCTTGTATGTGCATGTGCGATATAAAATAATAAAATGCAACCTCTATGCGATTTTCGACTTGTTTCGAATTGTTTTTTTTAAATCAATTTTTTATTTTCAATGTTATTATTGAGCGTTGGCTCAATCAGAAGTAACCACCTTCTCGAGAGGATCAGTCTGGTAACTCTTTGCTCTTTATATATCTATAAATGCTCTTTTTAATATTTATGTTTTTAGAAATATCATACAATAGCCTCGTGCTTTAATGTTAACTGTGAAGTGAAGTGAATTGCATTGAATAATCGTGACGGTAGGCTTATAAATTTCACTGCACCGTTTTTACACTTTAGCACTTGGGGCGATGTTAAAACGCCGCCCGGCAAGACAACGGTCGACTATTTTGACGAGGTTCGGTCACGTTTCATCGATATACCGCCATGAGAATATTTGTTTTTTATTGTGCGCCCGCCGTCCGAGTAAAAATTGAAGTGTAATTTTACGTTTTAACCGGTGCCTGCCCCCTTTCGTTCCGCTCGCATTGAGTGATGGTTATCATAATTGGAGAGAGGGTAGACAGGTAGGTGAGGTGTCCGCGCCGCCGGAAAGATGGCGGTGGGCGGGGACACGCGCCCGAATTATCCCTATCGCGTCTCTACTGTGCTCTACCTTAGTTCCCACATTTCATTCGTTTGATAACAGTTTGGTGTTAGGTGTAACACATAACGTTTAAGTTCTATAAACGGACAACAGCCACTCAACGTTATTCAGGTTTTAAAAAGAGGATTTATGGAAAGTTGACAAGCTAGCAGGCGCTTCACTTGATGTTAAGTTATTACCACCTCCCATGGACATCTGAAACACCATAGTGGTTGTAGATAATTTGTACAAATAGTACCTTTACAAATAGGCCCCTATATAGAGGTATGTTGTGACGTGAATTGGACAATTTGCCGACGTCAGTCTGTGCGTTCGAATATAAAGCAGGTGTTTTTGTGTAAATTCAAGGCAAGTGCGAATAGGTTTTTACTGAGCTAGTGCCTTAATAATCATCCGCGGCTGCAACAATCAAGCAGTAGCCAAGCACTTACAAAAAAGGAATCAATTATTAAATCCAACGGTGCACTTGTTTGTGTTTTGAACAGAACTCATTTTAAACGCTTCAGTACAGGTGTCCCGTATATAAGATACTCGATAAGAGGTGTCCGGTTACTGCGTCGGCGTTATTGATTGCGTCGCGCGTGGATTACCATTACTGAAATCAGTGCGCGCACATGTCGCGACACGCCCGCGGCAAATACAATGGTGAGATTAATAACGCGGACGCGTCGGACCCGCTACGCGACACGAGTGATCCGGCAAGCGAGCAAGGGCGGAAGAGATGGCCCGGATAATAAAGCATCAGACCCCCGCCTCGTAACTCAACGCCGTCGACGTTGAAATTGTTGGTTGCGTGGCCGTTGCGGTGATTCGCGTGCTTTATCCGACGACGGCCATTGAGCATGCTCGCTAATCGATCCTTTTGAACTGCAATTTCGGTTCCCGCTGAAGGATTTATTGCTGCGCGCGTAGAAAAATGAATTAGAATTCACTTGTGGCGAGCCTTGAAGGTAGGCTGTTTTATAAACATACTTAAGGAAGCGGTTATGATGTAAATACGTTATTAAATGAAACATATCAGTTAATAATATTATCATCAAAAGAGACTTAGCGTCACTGTAGATGTATTACTACATAATATAAAACAAAGTCGTTCCGCTGTCTGTCTGTCCCTATGTATGCTTAGATCTTTAAAACTACGCAACGGATCTTGATGCGGTTTTTTTAATAGATAGAGTGATTCAAGAGGAAGGTTTATATTTATAATGAATTGCCTCCGCTATACAAACAGACCTATTCACCGATATACAAACAGACTACTTAATATGAATAGTCTCAGATTAAGTAGTCTGTTTGTATACCGGTGAAATGTGTACCGCACATATATCTACTCCATCAGAAGTTATCCTTGTTCCGTGACTGTCTACTTGGTTAACTGTACGTAAAATAATTCTTCAGCGTTTGTTATGATGCTGCCGTGACTGGCACGCACGAAGGAAATCTTCACGCGCTAGGACGGAAGTGGTGTTTACAGCGCTTTAGTTTTTACGCGTCGCGTGTCGGGAATCCGTTTACATAATTGAATTACGATGTACATTTTCCTGCTTATCAGGCGTAAGAACGTGACACGTTTTTATGAGAGTAGTTAACTGCATTGTATTTTAATCATTGACATATATTAAATCGAACAAAACAGTTTAATATAAAGACTCGGTTTTCATCGTATAAACCAAAAGAGCTTTATCTTTTTGAATGTTGTATGAAATCATAAGTGAAAATATGTTATATTTTAATAATGTCTACTGATCTGGGTGTTTGTACCCAAGGAGTGTTGACGTCAGGCAGACGGCCGGTCGTAAAACACTAAGTCAATACTATTGACTTTGATTATATAGAAATTTAAATTTTTTATAGTGCTAATCTTTGCACTTAAGATTGAACATTAAAATATGTAGAAAAAGTGCGAAAAGATTGTCGCCGCTGTGGGAATCGAACCCACGTCTTCGGCATTCGCGGCCTGACGCTCTAGCCACTGAGCTAAACGGCCGCGAATTCCGAAGACGTGGGTTCGATTCCCACAGCGGCGACAATCTTTTCACACTTTTTCTACATATTTTAATTTGATTATATACTTGTAACTTGAGAGGTGTATAATCAAAGATTATTAAATCATTTTTGTTAAGCTATCTAGGTGCTATAAGGTCAGGAGCAAGAAGATTTTCAAAAAAAAATACTATTTTATCGATGTTATGTAAATTCCTAGAGGAACACATTTCGCTCTATAAATTTCCTTATTGTAGTCTTTATTTTCGTAGACGTATTAACTCACGTATTTAATAAGAAGTACCAGGAGGTCCGAGCTTTGCTCGGATTGTTTTGGTAAATCATGTATATTGGAAATAAAAAAAAAAAAAGAAAAAAAAATGATCTGGTATAGAAAAAAAAGTAAATGTGTGTAAATGATCGTGATACGAACCCCAGCGTCTGTTTTGGGGCCGCCCGATTACCGACCGAGCTTTTTGCGGCGAAATTTACTGTCATGTTCGAATAAATATACAATATACAAGAATTGCTCGTTTAGGATAAGATATAGTAGCAGTGTCAATATGGAAAGGCTTCGCCATTGATACCAACTTCGATTCTCATAGCCCAATGAAACGCTTAAGCGAGTTTTCGGTGGTTCTTGATGAACACTTTTGTGATGCTGCCAGTGTTAGTTGCTACGATGGGAAGAAACATTATTCAGCTTAACTATTACGGCCTAGTTCAAGTAAAACTTATTTATTCCCCGCTTCGTGCAAGTGACCTTTATTAATTTACATTATACGATGTATCATATTGATCGTCCATTTGAATTCTTTTATAGAGTAGAAAATAAACTATGGTCGTTTTCTCTTTTTTAACTGACCGCAAAGGTAAACGAAGATTCGGATGGACTGTGTGAAAAATTATATGTCTGTGAGTATTGAGATGACGGCTGACAGAGAAAAGGGGAAGGAAAGAAGAAGAAGTGCTGACCCTGCCCAGTGTGGGATAAGGGCAAAAGAAGTAGAAGGGAGAACAAAGATAAACAAACCTGTAGAACATTATTCTACTGGTTTGTTGTTCGCGGCGTATCTCAAGTGAATTTTTTTGAATTTTTTTAATAATCAGTAGGCTTCCCGCGAAAATCTAGAATTATGTTCCAGGTCCGTTCCACAATAATCGTGTCTTTTTCGGGAGTATAAATAATATTAAATCGCGTACAGTATCACCGTGCAAAAAACCATCTTGATTCCTTACTCCGTTGTTAAGCGCGCCCTTGCGCATTTATAATGCTTAGTAATCCTTTCAGTTTTGTAATCAAGAAATGATTAATTATACATATACATCAATATAACGGGTGGGCGCTCTTAACGGTGTACAGCTGTTGAAATATTTATGCGTCCATTGTGTGCTGCGAATGTAACGGTTAATTGTTTTGTGGCCGTGAGGAGAGACAATGAACGGTGCAGGTGGTGAAAGCGACCCCTGCCCTTAAGCCGGCGAGGTGGTGCCTTCACTGGCATTAACATATCTATCGCCTCCACGGTCCCTTAAGCGGTACAGTCGACTCCGTGTTATGACTAACGTGAATTCAATTACATTGTGTTTATCCACTCATAATGTGACACACGATGACCGTGCGTGTCGCGTTGACGACATATTGCACGCGTGAATACCGCCACGTACTAATGTTTTTTTTATTGAGACATTCTTAGTTTTTGCCGCGTGTTCGTGGCATATGGTTAACGATTAAATGTAACATTAGGGGCCGTTATTGATATAAAGCAGATGCAAACGACATAGCTATGCCCCAATGCCTTACTTGCGCAGAACATCTGCTTTGGTCACACCAGATTATTCCAATTTCTTTCGAATAGGACGATAGTCGTACGGTTTCTGGATGAAAGGATAGTCTTAGGAAAGAATTGAAAATCTTTTTATGATTTTGCAAATTTAGTTTAAATGATTCGTTACTTAGAGATGAATACTTGAGAGAAGAAATTATGCAGGATTCATTTGATGTATGCGCTCTTAAGAAATTTATTATTTCTGCAGTTCATTGGAGTTCACGGCAAATTCACGGCTTCAATCATGTTTATATACAATCTATAAACTCGATATGGTTTCCAGACTGAAATTATTGAATTAGTCTTAAGACAAGTCACAAGTCCTAATTTTAAATCAGAAAATATAATTCAATTTTTGACTTTACTTTTAAAGGAGGCTTATTTAAGTTCCCCATTTGTCCCCTTCCGAATAGTGAAAACATCAGTTTTTGTGACACGTAAAATTTTGGATTTTTATTATGATGAAAAGTATTATATTAAAATGTGATAAATTGCCGAACCTGGCCTTACGGAACATCTTTACTTAATTACGAATGAAATTTTTTGCGGTGTTAGCATAATGAACAGAAAAAAAAAATCTTACAATTTTTGCCATGTAATAATACAGTAGTACTATGCCAAAAGTTTTAAGACTTTACGTGCGTCTATAAATGAGAACTTAATTAAACAAAATTGAATTACAGTTTTTTATGTAACAATATAAAAGAATGTGTAATAAATTTAATAGTTCTATCTATAACTTTTATATATGATTCTTAAAAATTAAAAAAAATAATAACTAAAGTATTTCTGAGCCATTGATTAAGTTTGGAATGTGAATATGGCGTTTTATTTTTGTTCCTCGAACTAAATATAACTTTAGAGTTAATCCAGACTTTAGGGCCTCACTCCTTGTGTCTCATTTCTTATACAAATGTATACAAACAAATTCCCAGGTTCCTCTGTTTCGCAAAGTTCTCACATAGCTGTTCTGGAATCCTGAAACTCCCTGTGAGTGCAATGTATGCTTATGCCATTTGAATTTACATAGGTTACTGCGGCTCTATGTCGCTTCATGTGTTAGTACAGGGCTGTTTAGTTACTTGGAATTGGATGCGCTAACTTCTACGCAACTGTAATAAAGTCCCGGCGCATTAAAATATAGAAGTAATTACATTTAAGATGGAAGTTAACAATGTCAACATTGTGCGTATTAGCATAAGGTTGTTAATAATTTTCAAAGTATATAATCCGAGCCCCCGTGGCGCAGTTGCTAAGCTATTGACTACGGCTCCTGGGGTCGTGGTTTCGATTCCCTCCCGGACAAGTATTTGTGTGACTCATAGATTATTGATCTGGTGTTTGTTTCCAAAGAGGCATCAGGCAGTGGCTAGTTGAAAAACTTTCCCAATAACCACTTGCAGCTTTGTTTGACATGTTATGCAGAACCTATCTTAGGGGGATAAGGAAGAAGTAGAAAAAAGAAGAAGAAAAACAAAAAGAACATCACGTTCAACATTTTTTCAAGTAGTCAATTAAGTTTAAGTTATAGCAGTTTATATTTCATTTCTCCAACCTCACGCGTTTGTTCGAAACGCTTAAGCACGCGGATAGCGTTATTTTAGTACTTTTATCGGCATATGTTCGACGTACAGACATAACATTATTTCAGAACACGTATCGCATATAGATAATCCCGTGCAGAGGTTATGAAGCATTTATTGTTCGAGGCATATTTCGCGTTAAAGGCAACATCTGTGAATAACAACACAGCACGATCCAGTTGATCTTACAGCTTAGGTATTGGAGATTAGAGAAAGCTCAAACGTTACACGTGGTGTTAAAATCCTATTTGGTTGTTATATCAAAAGTTTCGTGGTTGATTTTCACACAAAACAGTTAATTTCAGCATAAGCCTCCTATATGGTTTTCAAGCTCATAAACTACTATCACCCTAATCTTATCCTTTAAACGAGCAATTCTTGTATATATATATATATATAATCGGAATCTCGGAAACGGCTCCAGCGATTTTCATGAAATTTTGTATGTG